TCAACTAGAAATTGCAAACTGGTGGCCTGTGGACAAATTTGGCCACATGTTCATTTTATTTGGCTAACGTGGTGTTTTTTGAGAGCTGAATTGGTTGCCAATTGTTGAACATCAGACAATCTCACATGAAAAACAGGTCTCCAACTTCTCTTGAAAAGTAGAAAGGTCTGCCAATGCTGGGCCCTCATTTTCTCAAGGCAGAGTGTGATAGGCTGGGGCTGAGCAGCACCTACTCCTTTGCAAGGCGTAGCACAGCTCACTGCAGTCCCACCATGCTCCATGGCCTAGCATCGCCCTGCCCAGCCTGTCTGTACTGGGGAGTAGGTTAAGTCAGGGGCTGACAAAAGGTTTGAGAAATGTGGAGTTCAGCCATCCTGTGTTTGCTTTTGTGGCCCCAGTTGTACATAATAGGGAGGGAAACTGAGGACAGAGAGGTGGTTCTGGGCCCCCAACATGGGCACGGGCATCTGTGGTTCTGTCTGCCTCACATGCCACCTGTTCTGGAAACTCTCACTTCTCCTGTGTGACTCCTGAGTGTGCTGGCAGTTTTCATATGATCCTGCTCCTGTGGCCAGCACACACTGGTCCAGAGAGTGACCATGTGGGCCAAGCTTGGTTGATATGGTTCTAAAACTTCCAGCCTGTGACAGTGTCAGAGGAGCCCATGTCAGTGGCTAAAGCCCCGGGTGCAGGGCTCTGTAGCACTGACCATGTTTCGTATTACGTGAGTGGGAAGTAGAGCCTGCAACTGCAAGAGAGGGAAGGAGCATGTCATCACATAGAGAAGAGTGCAGAGTAAGACACACAGGGTGGGCTGCAGTAATCTGGCCCTCAGCATGAGGTCCTGATCCTCATCATTGATTTGAAAACCTAGCTAAAGTTGGTTTTTGTTGCTCCCAGGACATGTCATCATAGGTAGCCTGCTCTCTGCCAGCCTTTCCAGTGTCTGAGGGCTCCCCTCATGCTCCCCCTTGTGTCCCATGTCCCTGCTACCTGCTTTTGAATTTAGCATTCTGGGTCTCTAGTAGGCAGTTAGCAGGCGTGAGCAGAGCAGGAACGATGGGCTAGATGCAGAGGGTCACCAGGGTGGAAAACCCTGGGTGCTTAGCAACATGCAAAAGTACAAGCCCCTGTGTGACCACTCCTTTAAGCATTAAGCCTTGGAGATGACATCTAGACCTCAGCTGTGTTTCAGTTCCAGGCCCCCCAAAAGCAGCAAAACCAGGCTGAGCCACCCCGTTTGCTGACATCAGGACCAGCTGCAATGACTAATGACTCCCCTCCCCTAGTGCCACCAATCAGTGGAGACCAGGACTCTGAGAAGACACACAGGGAAGCTGATGAATATTCTATTGAGAGCCTCCCCTGAGACCTCAGATAAAAGCCCTGGGGATGGAGGACCCAGTGTGGCTCTCTCTAGGGATCACTCTGTGTCTTTCCTACTCCTTTCGTCCCCCAGAGCGTGCTCTCTCTCCCCCCACTCCTCATCTCTCCCCTAAGCTCCAAAGGCCCTTATTTTTCTGTAACCTGTTTCCTGAGCCCATTTCTTCTATGGATCACTTCTACCTCTGTGACTTTCTAAATACATTTCTCTTATAATTGAAGTCATGGCTCTGAATTTTTCTCTCATCCAAAACTCAAGGACTGAGGTTGCTGAACTGAGGTTGACACCTGGTGTCGTTTTTCTGCCAACAGGTCTTTTGGAAAATTCCCTTTTGCTATTCCTGAGCCAGTCAAAGAGTGAAGAGAGAATGTGAAGGCATTTCTGTGCCCTGGGACATGCATTCCCTTTTTCTGGGCCTCTCGGGAAGTCTGCTCCCAGGTTCCAGCTGGCCAGGCAGGGCGTGATGCATTCTGTCTCACACAGTTGCCTGTGCTGATGTGAACAATACATACAGAAATCTACACTCTGTGGGATGTCCACAAAGCATGTTGGGAAGGTCTCCTGCTGCCATCAGTAGCAAAGTTTCCAGGAACTGGTATCCTGATATGTGTTCAGGAGACCTGGAATTGAGATGCTAAGATTTGAGTGTTCAAATCACCACTAGGCGATGGATGATTCTGAGAACTTTTTCATTAATTCATCAAGTATTTATTGAGAGCCTACTATGTGCCCAGGCACTGTCCTAGGCACTGGAGATATTAGTATAAATTATGTAGCTTATAGGGAGCTCACATTCTAATGGTATGTGATCTTTTCTATGCATTTGGTTCTGGAGATACCAAAACTAACAAAATTCAGCCTCCATGATTTCATAACTATAAGGTTCACCTTTCTCACATGTACAATGAGGTTAAAATAATTATCTCACAGGGCTGTTTAGAGGATTATATAAAACTAGAGGCCCAGTGCACAAAATTCATGCACTCTGGAGGGTCCCTCAGCCTGGCCTGCACCCTCTCACAGTCCCGGAGCCCTTGGGGGATGTCCGAATGATGGCTAAGCCTGCAAGCGGACATCCTTAGCACTGCCGCCGAGGGGGGAGAGGCTCCTGCCCCCGCTGCTGTGCTCGCCAGCTGTGAGCCTGGCTTCTGGCTGAGTGCTGCTCCCCCTGTGGGAGCGCACTGACCACCAGGGGGCAGCTCCTGCATTGAGCGTCTGCCTTCTGGTGGTCTGTGTGCATCATAGCAACCAGTCCCCCCCCCCCCAGGTTTCTCCATTTTCTTATTTGCCTTTTTTTTTCCTTATAATAAAAGGATAATATAATATATTATCCCATAACGGTGTAACGACTGGGATTAACTAGTCGCTATGAGGTGCATTGACCACCTCTTGGTCCCTTCCCCCAACTCACAGGATCTAATCGCTGGATGGCTAACGGGGAACCACGGGGAACCAGGGTGGTGTTGGGTTGGGACTGGGGACTGGCGAGCAGGCAGAAGATGGCTCTGATCAGAGCCTAGGAAGCCCACCCATGTACGATTTTGTGTACTGGGCCTCTAGTATAGGATAATTCATAGGCACGTTCTTGGCATTTAAGCCTTAACAAATATTATTTTCTCCCTGAAAAGTTAAAAAGCAAGTTACACTTAACTTCACAAACCACAGGTTAGTCTGACTGCTAGGCGGGACCTGAATGCCTCTTTTGACATTGGCTCTGGCAACAACCTGGCTTTGTAGCGGCCACCCAATTGACCAGGGTTTGTGTGGGGCCGGGAATGAACACACAGCGGCCACGAGGGGGCAGCGCACTGCAGGGAATCGTGACAGCGTCTCCAGCCCACCGCCAAACTTCCCTGCTGCTCAGGGTCCTCCCTACGTACTTCCGTTTCTCTGACGCTGGCAGAGCGGGGGAGTAGGGAAGGAGAACGCAGATTTCCTCTCCTATGCGCCAGCCGAGGAGATTTTGCAGCGGGGTTCAGGAGACGGCGCTGGGTCCCCCGCACTACGCTAGCCGCGCGGGTGTGTGCGGGAGGCGCGGAGCTAGGCGACCTGCGCGAGGGTGTGGGTCTGGCGGGCAGTGGCGCCAGCCTCCGACCGCGACTCCGGAGAGAGCCAGCAGCCGCCTGGAGGAGCCGGCACCGACCCTGGGCACCCTAGCCAACCCAAACGCCTTCCCTTCCTGCTTTGCGGGGCGTCCCCGCACCCACACGCCCACAGCTCCTGGGTTGTCACTGCTGCGGCCATCTGAAAAGGAGACCGACCAGGAGAGCTCGGGAGTTGTCGAGGTGGATGCCCGGTGTTGGCTGTGTCCCCAAGCTGCTCGCCAGCGCTGGAGAAGGCGGTCGAGATAACACCTACCAAACTTTTTCCTTCGCAGCAGCGTTGGGAGGAAACATCCCTGCCCGAGGCTCACGGAAAGCCGAAGGGAAGACTTTGGGAGGGGACAAGGTCAAGCGTCGCAGCTGGGCAGGCTCGGAGTTCCAGGGAGCCCTGGAGGCAGGAATCCTCGCCAGCGTGCGCCTGTGCGAAGGGAGGTCCAGCGGACGACGCATCTCCTTTCCCATGCCCCTCAGTGACCGTGACCCTCGCGCGTTCCCCGCGCACGTGCTTGCGGTCGAGGAAGAGAACGGGTCCGGCTGAACCCACTGTGGGTAGCGAGTCGCGGGCGGGCCCAGGGCGCATGGAGCGCCGCGGGGGCAGTGCGGCTCAGCAGCGGCGCGCACACTGCCCCCCTGGATCCCGACCCGCCGCTCCCCTCACTTCCTGCCGCGGGGCTTCTGGCCCCAGGAGGCCTTTTGGAGCGCAGAGCCCGCTGCGTGACGGGCCCGGCGGCTCCCCTGGAGCACTGCGCGGGGCGGACAAGCCGCGGCAATGGTGTAGCCATTAGCTACGGTCGTCGCGCTCCAAGGGACAGGTAGGCTCCATTGACCCGGAGTTGGCTCGCGGGGTGCGGAACTCCAGTTCCCGCCTCGGCCACGCAGGCCGGTCGGCGTGCCACTCTGCACCGCGGCGGCTGCAGCCTCGGGCCACCAGCCGGTGTGGAGGCAGTTCTGGCGGAGCCCGGCTGCCCGGCGGCCGCCTTGGCGCCATCCTGATGCCCGCTGCCGGCAGTGGGCCCGCCTCCGGCCCTGGGACCTAGACAGCTGCGCGCGGCCGCCGCCGGCGCCTCCCCCATGCTTCTCGGAGAGTCCAGGCTATGTGCGTCCAAGGCGGCTGCCGCTGCTGCGCAGAGCGAGGGCGACGACGACAGGCCGGGCGAGCGGTGGTGTTGGCAGCGGGCGACGGCCACGGCCGCGGCGGCGGGCGAGGACATGGATGAGTCGTCACTGCTGGACCTGCTAGAGTGTTCCGTGTGCTTGGAGCGGTTGGACACCACGGCCAAGGTGCTGCCGTGTCAGCATACCTTCTGTCGCCGCTGTCTGGAGAGCATCCTGTGTTCGCGCCACGAGCTGCGCTGCCCAGAGTGCCGCATCCTGGTAGGCTGCGGCGTGGACGAGCTGCCCGCCAACATCCTGCTGGTGCGCCTGCTGGATGGC